CTGTGCCTGATCACGGCTTTGGGTCACTCGGCGGACTGCAGCGGCCCCCTCCTCTGCGGCTTCGCCTCGGGCCGCGGTGAAAGCAGGACTCGCTGGGTTCACCTGGCATTGGAGCGACACGGCATTCCTTCCCTACAGACACTTGTGTGCTACAGCGCTGCCCTGGTACCCATCTGCGCTGTGCGCTCCAACCTCACCCGCACACTTTTTCGCTGCCTCACTCTGACGGCCGTGTGCTCGGCCCTGCACACTCTGGCCTTCCTGCCGACCCTCCTCACCTTCCTGCCTCCCTCCAAGAGCAGGGACCATCGGCCAGGAAGAGAGGGCCAGAGACAGGAAGTGGAGTGTGTTGAAATGAATGACAGCACCAGAGTAGTGGACCAGATCACCACTGTTTGAGCACGTAACGGTTGAAAGGTTGGCAAAAGGGGCAGTATTATGTAAAATCAACTTTTTTTAGCTTTCCATCAGGTTATGATGTCATTCCCTCATCTCAAACATACCTGGATTGTTGCCTTGATTCTTTAATGCATGTTAGAGAAATCCTCTAATCTCCATGGAAACCATTCTGCTGTTCAAAACATCTAGGCGGACATATCCCCGCCCTCAAAGTGCATCTCCTCCCCCACTCAACTCCTTCAGACTAGTCAGCAGCAATTAGCAAACACTTAATGGAACTGCGTGTCTGGTGGAGCCACTTCTCAGTGCAACGCTGGTAAAAACGTTGTTAAAAGGGTTTATAGAGGAGCCATATTGTGATAACTTCCTGAAAACCAAGTTTCAGAAAGAAAATTAAAGAGACAGAAGCCCAATTTCAAGGCGCTAAATTACGAAATCAAATTTCTGTGAAGTCATACAGCATTTTGAAGGTAACGCAGTTACTTGATTGTGCTGCAAAATGGCACTATATGTCAGGAAAATACATAATACTGCCTCTTTAAACAGGAAAAATATGAAATATAGACCATAAGAAGGAGAAAGGCAGGCCTGGATGAAACGTGTCTTCTGTCTGTTGGTGGGGCGACGCGGCATGTAAATGAGTTTTCTCCCAATCACAGATTGAAAATGTGCCTGGATGTAAACACTTTTCACTATAGGACTCGCTTTAGATTCGACCCTTTACTGCCTACTGCTGTGTTTACTTTCTGTTGCCATATCATGTTGCACAATTTCAGCTTGGGTGGCCTGAGGTAATCCTCTGTATTACTTAGTATTTCTACTTTAATGCTGGACAAATAAAGTCAGAATAAGAGAATGTGATGTTTGTGTTTGCCTCTTTTGCATCCAGAAATGCTTCAACTCTTGTTTCAACAAAGGAGTTTTATTGAACTGACAGCTTTGTTGATCAGATGATACTTTGTGGGCACTAATGTAGTTCTCATTTTTATTATTATAACATTAGAAAGAAAATACTATATTTTCTCAGAATATAATTTAAGATTTTTGAGTAAGTTTTGTCCAACTTGATATAAAATCCGACTTGCAGGTTATTTTTCTAACTCAAAACAGTAATTACTAATATTATTACTTATTTCCAGAGATTGTAAAGTAACTTTTGTATTTGTGAAAGTCTATCTGAAGTTTGTTTTTTAACTTTTCTTTCTGTCTAAATAGAGAAGCCACACTTTAAATGTGTAAAATTAATGATTTTCTTTAAGGTCAGAATTAAGGGTTTCACAGGTGTAATTTCTTTTTAAATTAAAATATGGTCACCTTATGGAGTACCACAAGGCTCAGTACCTGGACCAATCATCTTTGCGATATTAATGGGTCCACTTAATAAGATTGCAAAATTATTTTGGTTATTTTTTTTTATTTTTTATTTCATTTATTTATTTTCTCAAATCACTTTTGGAAAGAAAATGGTTTTATTTTAGGAATCTTTTAGTAATGCGGGTTTTTTTTTTTTGCTGTGCTCTTTTTGTCTGCATTTTATTTGTTCTTTTGCATGTTGGCCTTTAATCACATTTTTGAAAGCCATTAACAGATTCCTGAAAGAATCCTGACAGAATTAGAATAATTTATTTAAATTGGCAGGTTACCTGGTACATACCTGACATTTAAGCATATTTTAACGTCATTCTTGTGTTTTATTTTCTAAACAGTGAATGAAAGCTCTGATTTCTTTCCATCTCTGTGTTTTGTCTGCAGGTGAAAGCCGAGTTCGAGCTCTAACAGTTAATCCTTGCAGCTGAAGATGAAGGTGTGCACGTGGGAGTTCAAGCTATTGTTAATACATTCGTCTCTTTGGCGTGTTCTTGAATGAAACCGTTGTTCAGGCTCTTAGTAGGCGCCACAGCCGTCAAAGAAAAACCCACAACCTTCCCACCCAGGAGCTCTGCCAGTAAACTTTATGATAAAAATGTCACTGAGCAATGAAGCGTTTGGGCACAAAAGAGAGTTTATGTGCTAAACATCTCAGATTTTCCAAAAACCTCTGGATTATCTGCAACGTCTTTGGAAATATTTTAATATCCGAGGCAAAAGTAGAATGTTTTCGAAGGTATGTCATGTTAGATCTGGTGCACAGGGATAATTTAAGAAAAAAAATGAATCAATCAAACATGGTGGATGCAGGATGAGCAACTTTCCTCAAATTATCAATGTGGTCTATCAAAAGATATTCAGTTAAAACCAGAAGTACCACAAATCTGGGATAAACTAACAGAAAACTACAAACCAGCTGAAACACTGACTTCCACTAAGTGTGCTTAAATATTATGTTTTCAATCAAATCAATGCCATTTTTATCTGTCCCTCCAGTTTCTTGAGAACTATTGAGGAAATTCACACAAAATCAAGAAATCCCCCAAACATTTTTGTGGTTATAATTGGCAGTTTAATGCAGATTTTTCTTAAATATTGTCAAAACCTTTATTACTTGTATTAAACAGCTGCTTTAGCTTTAATTGATGTCAGATTGTGGTCCATGATCTATACAGCAAAAAATAACAGTTCCATTTACCGTCATAAACAAAGGGGAAATATTGCAAATATTTCCAAATTAGTTCCACAAACACTTTGATTTTTATTGCAAAAAAAGATGCTCAATAATATTATTTAATTTTAAGAATTCGCTGATATTTTAACAGTTTGTGAACAGGTGTTATCAATACATCCTGGCACTTTAAAAGCATTTATGATCTTAATTTGGCCCAAAACGGAACTGAGTTTGACACCCCTGCTTTAAGGAGTCACAGGAGAAAGAAACTGGAAATATTTATGCGTGTTGAACCGACAGAGGGTAAAAGTGCTGAGTCACTGAATGTGGAGCAGCAACTCTGCAGTTCAGCTGCGCTCCACTGATCCGACACAGCCTCGTTTCCCCCCATAAAAAAACAAAAACAAAGCCTGACACCGGATATGCAGCGGGAAAAATACCGCTTCCAACACTGCCCTCTTGTGGACAAAGTCAAGAACAGCACGAACCCTCGTGGTTTCGCAAACACACGCCCGCCTCAGGCAAGCGAGGGTGCAGCGTGATTTTTAAAAATGTTTTACTGTTTAAAAGCGCTTCACTCTGCTGCTACTGACTGTTTGATTCACTTCATGTCTGATTCCTGCCAAGGAGACGATGGTTTGACTGGTTCCTCAACTTGAATTCCCTCATTTCATTCTTGACAACATGGGGAATTTTTCTGCCTTTTTTTTTCTTTCCAACTGATTCTGTAGCTTATACAAACATCCCGACACACACACACACACACACGCACACACACGCATGTCTGCGTTGCTATCTTTGTGGGGACTTTCCATTGACTTCCATTCATTTCTACAGCCTAAACCTGACCTTTACCCTTTTCCTAACCCTAACCAACCAAAACTCAATTCATACCTTAGCCCTAACTCTGACCCCTGACCCAAAAACAGGGTTTCCCCTTGTGGGGACCAGGCTCCGGTCCCCACGAGGAGCAATTGGTCCCCACAACGTAGTATATGTCAGGAAAATCGTCCCCACAAGGTATTACAAACAAACGCACACACACACACACACACACACACACACACACACACACACACACTGAGACAACGCCGAGAGGCTAACACCGTGTGAAGGAAGGGCCTGACCCTGCATCCTGTACTACCAGCTGTTACCTTCCAGCCATACAGAAAGAAAGAAAAAATCTAAATCTTATCAAGCATTTCTGTTTAGTTTCTACTGCAAATAATTTAGTACACTAAAAATAAGAAAATAAATTACTTTTCACCAAGATGCAGGAGCTTGTTTTAACTCACTAGTTCCTTAAAATAGATTAAAACGTTCTGGTTTTACTGGCAAATTGTTTGACTTTTAATACAGGAAAAATGTCTTGTAATAAATTAAATTTACAAGTAATTTTTCATCAATATAGTTTGATCAACCTGCTATATTTTGCTAAAAAAAAATAACTTGTTAGTTTTGTCTAATATTTCAAGTATAATAATATATTTGCACCAGAAACTGGACTAAAATATTGAGTAGGATTTTGTATTTTTGTTTTAAAGGTAAATAATTAAAAATACAAAATCTTACAAAGTATTTTTGTTTTGTTTCTAGTAGACAAAACTAACAAGTAATTTTTCAGCAAGATACAGCAGCTTGTTTTAAGTCAGTAATTCCTTAATATCAATAAAAAGTTGTAATTTTACTGGCAGATCATTTCACTTTTAATATGGGAAAAATATCTTGTACATGAAATAATCTACCAGTGGAACTAAGACTTTTTCATCAATATTAAAGGATCATCTACTTAAAATAATCTGTGTAATCTATATCTTAGTTTTGTCTTATATTTCAAGTGTATGTAGATATTTGCTCTCGAAAGAAGAAAAACGAGAAAATATTTAGTTTTTGCAGGACAGACAGACAGACAGACAGACGTGTTGTCCTCCTTCTCTCTCTTTCTCCTCCCTCTCTGGGTGTGTTTCATTATTTCGCCCCCAGTGGCCTGCAGGCGGATTTTGCATTTCAGGATTTCTGATTTCCTGAACGCAGCTCTCTCTCAAACGAGCCTCCCGCCTGCTGAACCACATCGCCGCTCAGACGCAGGTGGATCCTGGACAGAGAAACTCAGGAGAAACGTGGAGCGTGTGAAACTTGGATTCATCCTAGACGTGTGAAGACGGGGAAGATGGAGAGACGTGTGCGAACCGGAGAGAAGATATCAAGTCCTCCTCCGTAGGGTTCAAAGGTTAACTCATAGACAACCAGACAAACACCATCAGGTAAGAAGTTTGTAAAACTTCAAAACTTTTTCATATGTAGGTGAGAAATTTAGGGGAAAGTAGAAAAGGAACAGATTATTTTATGTTGTCAACATAAGATAATCTCAAAGCATTACACTGCAAAAACATAAAATCTTACCAGGTATTTTTAGTTTATTTGTACACTTGAAATAAGACAAAAGTAACTTTATAGCAACATATAGGAGTCAGTAATTCCTTAATATTAATGAAAAAATAGGAGTATAACAATATTTATAAGTGAAATAATCTGCCAGTAAAACATACTTTTTCATTAATATTAATGAATTATTGACTTAATGAAGCTCATATATCCTGCTGAAAAGTTACTTATAAGTTAGTTTTGTCTTTGCACTAGAAAATAGACGGAAATATTTGATAAAATCTGTTTTTCAGGGCAGGTTATCTTAAATATCTTTCTAATATTTAGCTGTGACATTAAAGCATAAAGAAAGTAAATCTCTTTTTATGCAGGGAGATTTTGATCAAAAGAGAATAACATTTATCTGATGTGCGAAGATTTAATTTAAACACAATACGGGACAGCGTTACAAAACCAAAAATATCCTTCAAGTCTCTAAAATCCAGCCAACAAACTTTGTCCTGAATATGTTTTTGCATATATGTTTAGATTAGCCTTTCAACACTTCAAAATGTTAAGAAATGTCAAGACTTAGTGGTAGGAATTATAAAAATATTCTAAAATGTGACACATCTTTCCATCTGCACCAAAGTTTGTGCAGAATGTAAATCACTGCTGCCGACCTCATGATGTGAGGAGACTAAATAATCTGGACTTATTGGTGTTCAGCCATGAAAATAACTTTAACTTTGAAATGACATGAAAGGTAATTAATTCCCTACTTGTTTTGTACTTGATGAACTGTATCATAGATATAGAACCCATAGAACCTAAAGTGGGTGAGAAAATTGGTCCAAATGAGATCCTAGACGAGTTGCACGATTTAAATAATTATTTTTTCTTGATGCCTTTTTGCCCCAAACAAGAAGCTCATTTAGTACTGAGTCCTGAATAAACATACATTCAGAATACAGATATCTAAAGAAAATCTATGGAAACAAATTTAAAGTATTTTACTCTAATGGTGCAATAATAGTTACTTTATGTCATATTATTCTATGCAGGTGCTCTGTCTGCACTGGTGATAATTCACTAAATCTATAGAAGCAGATGTAAAGTATTTGGTGACACTTTATTTGAAGGGTTAAGACTGACATAACACTGTTATGAACTGTCATTCATTAAATAATGACATTTTAAATGCAAAGTTCCTTTAAAATTTTGAATTAAAAGTCCATTAAAAGTGTAAATTTTGCCTTATTTAGTGAATAATGACACTTTTAATGCTAAGTCAACTTTTAGTTATTTGGTAATAATGAATGCAAAGTTACTTTAAAGTTACCTTAAGTCATATTATTCTATGCAGGTGCTCTGTCTGCACTGATGAAAATTCACTCACAAAGTGCAAAAAGTTTAATTTCCAAAATTTAATCGATTTTATAAGATTGAACATTTTGAACTGCATTGAATCCTGTGTTTACATAACAGGCAGCTACGTTCTGCGCAACACAAAAACAGACGTGAGTCTAAAAGAAAATAAACATTTTAAAGATTTGTTCCCTAAAATGCTCTTCATTTTCCAATGTTATGGCAAGATCCCAGCTTCTGTTTTAATATAATCATTAAAAAACCTTTAAGTTCAAGTAAATCAGAGTCACAGAAATAATTTATCACCAGACACTCATTATAAATTTGGTTCTTTATGTGTTTTTATAGAGAATACAATAATTATTTTGGCAAACGTTTTAATTCTTCAAAAAACCCCTAAAGAGTTGACAAGTTGTTTTCTAAAACATCTCTTGTCTTCAAATCACAACAATTAGCTGTGTTAGCATGCTAGTTAGCATGTTCTGTTTGCTCAGGGTGTTAATATGATCTAAATAGTTTATATCTTAATTAAAGTACTTTTACTCCAGCATAAAAATCGAAACTTTTACTCTACTGTTGTTTAATTTGGATTTGTGTAAAATACAAATACAAAGTAGTTTTCAATTATGAAAAGAAAGGACAACAACACAAATTTCTGGTGATAATAAATTAACTTTTTTATTGCTGAGAGGTAAGCTAAATAATCAAAAGTGTGTGCAATTTAGATTTTTATTTGTAAATGAATGTGAAAAACTGTTAATCATATTAATTACAACAATGCATTAGTTTTTTTTGTTCTAATGTGACAGAATGTAATTTAAATAACATATCAATTTAGTTTTATTTGTGCAGTTAAAATATACAAAAATCGGTGAATTTTTTTTGGTAATTACAATTGTTGGTATTACTTTGTTAACTTTTAAATCTTCATGTTAATTTATTAAATTAAGAACACAAAGGCGAACATGGTGGAAATGTTTTATGCTTGTCAAATATCCGGTGTAACAACAGAAGGTTTTGTAAAATGGCTTTTTGATCACTTCCTGAACTTGTAAGATCAGATTTAGATAACTTATTTTTCATCTAAGTTGTAAGAAAGATCTAGTTTTTGTTTTGTTTATATTTTTTCTAGAAATAAACAATCAAGTTGGAATTGCGTCCAAAAAAACAACCAACCAAAGGGGGAAAAAAGGTTTTTGGAGCTTAGAAATGTAATAATAAAGGAGTGTTGATACTTTTTCAAGTCACTGTATCTGCCATATTTCATTTCCATGTTAGAACAAACATAGTTAAACATTTTGAATACCCAGAATCCACATACAAGCATTGCATAAAAGTGTGAACTGAGATGTGTAGCAGCCTAACTGTACTAGAAACAATAAGTTGTCTTTGAAAGGTGTGAATATCATGAGGTGTAACCCAACTCCCCAGTGTCCTCCCCTCCCCGGCCCTCAAGTCAAGAACCTCATTCAGACAAAAGCGCGGATAATATTCAACCGTTTCATCTTTCAAGCTGTGAAAAAGGCTTCCCACAGCTCTGACCATTTATAGAAACACCGATTACAATGGAGGAAAAGCTTAAAAAGAGGAAGCTGCTGAGCAAACGGTTCCAGCTATGCAAAAACAAAAAAACGTGACCATTGATTTGAATGTTATTACATAACTGAGAGTTAAAGGAGGGAAGAAATATAAAGAGTTGGAAATATTATGTTGTAATGTTTCCAGGAGGATGTTTGGCCTTTTCTTTGAAGCAACATGGAGAAGGCGGCTTTGTTTCCATCCAGTCATCTTCTTTTTCCTGGCAGCAGCCGCTCCACCCACAGGTGAGCAAAAGTTTATGTACAATTAATAAAACACCTGGGAAAAAAGTTTAACCTGAAAACCCAACGTATTGCATTTATATTTGCATACAGGAATGTTTACAATATTATGGAAATCTGTCTCTTCCGCAGAAAGTTCTCCTGATCTATGTAAAGCACTTTTATTTGTGTAGCAACTGACAAAATAAAGCTTGCTTGGTGTTTTAGAGCAAATAAGGCTATGCTCAGTGCAGCCTTTAGTGATCCAAATCCGGTTTTTCCATGTATCGAATCTTTTTATGACAGTCTGAACAACTTGTATCGGATTCTTTCGATTCCGACCCAGAACAATTTGGATTTGAGGTTATAAATCCGATACGAATCTGATCTTTTATGCGATTTGAATCTGTGCGGCTCTGACCGTATTCATCCAACCTAACGTCATTGATACTCGACAAACGTCACTGTTCTGGTTCTGATCCGCTCAAGCGGGAAGAAAAACAACAAACATGGCGGACGATAATGAGGACTGAGCTGTTAATGTGCTGGTTCCGGTCGGACCACAACTTTAAAATCGTAAGCTAAGCTCCACCATTAGCATCCACCTTTACTTCCGCAAACACTGAGCACTTCTTCTTCTTCTTCTTCTTCTTTATGGCGGTTGGAAAAACATTCGCGCCGTATGTGTGACGTCATTGCGCCCTCTACTGCGCATGCGGGACATTTTAAGGTAGCCTGAAGTTCACACAGGAGATCACATACACATGGCAAATATTGTTTTACCGATTATTTTAGAACTACGCAAAAAAAATCCGATTTCACAGAAAAACAGATCTGAGTGTGAACTAGCAGAGACTCCTGAACTTATCCCTCATTATTGTCTGGCAGGGTTTTTTGTTGCCATGGACACAAAACAGCGTCCATTCATCAATGCACCCATTGACAGTTGTCAATTCAGTGTTATTAATTTGAATTGACATGAATATTTACCTTTGAGAAAAAAATAAAGAGTTACTGTGTTCTAAATGTGGGGGATGACACTGGATATACTGGATGTGTTCTTCCTTTTAAATTTTAATTTCACTCGATTTTTCTAGTGGCGCGCAGCACTGTTTGCATAGATAGCTCCCATGGGCAAATCCCTTATTCAACCTGAACTCAGTAGGAAAAGTAGCTTTCTAGCTGTGGCTCATATGACCAGGAATTTAATAAAAATAAAAACAAAGACAGCTTTTTACGCACAATCTGAAGTTCAATCAGAGAAAACGCCCAGTTAGAATTACCAACATTATTTCTATTGGCTAAATGCCACAATACTGGGAGCAGGAATGTATCAGGGATTTATTTATTTACATCTCCAAAATTTTCTTGGCATTTGGTGGCGATGCCTTTAAACTGTTTGGGTCAAATGTTTTGGGTTTCGTTCCATAAGCTTCGCACAATAGTTGGCAGGAATTTTGGCCCATTTCTCCTGACAGAACTGGAGGAACTGGGTTAGATTTGTAGGCCAAGTCGCTCACACAAACACCTTTTCAGATCTACCCACAAATTCTCTGAGATCTGGACTTTGTGATGGCCAAACATTGATTTTGTTGCCCTTTAGCCACTTGGTAACCACTTTAGCATTGCTTAGGGTTATTGGAAAGCCCATTTTGACATCTGATGATGTCCAAGATGTCTGGATGATGTCTGGGTCATCATCCAGACATCCATCTGGATGATGTCTGTTGGAGACATGCATCAGTTCTTTACCCCAATATTCTGGCCAAAACATTTTAAATTTCTGAAGTCCCAAAGTGTACACATCAGTCAGAAACAATTTAGGTGTTGTGATGATGAAAATTAGCAACAATACTAAGGTTAGCTAAAATGTAGCATGTGGAGTATCACTATCAGGTTGACCAATATTGACTTACTCCATTCAGTATTATAAACATGGCTATTATTGGAAGAATTAGCTGAAATGCTTATTTTAGTTATCAGGCTAGCATTAGCATGAATGCTTTCACCAGCATGTTATAACTGACTCCATAAAAATGCTTGCAAGCTCCACAAAATGGCTCATATAAAAATTTTTTGTGATTAGAGGCTAGAAAGTTTGGTAGCTATGGAGTAACTAATAAGTAATGCCATTTATGTTTTTGCAAGGTGGGTTGAGAGCAGAGAAAAAGTGAAAAAAAGCATGTTATTACGCCGTTTAGCTAAGAAAGCTAACAGTTAGCGCACTTTAACGAGACATATAAAGTTTAAACCCCGAGGGCTTTTCTATTTTTACAAGCTTGGATAATAAGTTTAGTAGCTACGATTAGCCCAGCGCTAACCTCAATCTTTTATTTTAGCACTTTATATTATCGCTAACACTAACCATGTCTATTAAAATCCTTAATTTTGGATTAATTCTGTCTTTTTTTAGTGGACGGATATTTCCTCAGAGACATTAAGGCAGTAGTAAATGGCTGTGAAGACCACTGGGCCCTTCGGGACAGGATCTCCATCCCAAGCCTTTCCCAGATGACTGTATGTGTGAATATTCGCGTGGTTGTCCCTGGACCCTGGGTGGCCTTTTCTTACAGCTCAGTCCGGACACCAAACCCCAATTTAGCTCTTGAAGGGGACGACAAAACAATTTATGGATGGTTACTGCAAGTCCAGCACCGGTTTCCGTTCAAGATGTCCCCAATGGAGTGGCACAGGGTGTGTCTAAGGAGGGACGTACGGAGAAATATCTTCAGCCTGGAGGTAACACTGAGTAAAATAAGATTAGACTCTGAGTTTTTATTTTTATTTTGAAAGTTACCATGCATAACATTTTTACTCACCCAGTATGAGTTCTCCCTGCTTGTTCCTCTTGATCGTTAGCATAACTTGCTACAGCTTGTCAAAAAAGCAGAAACTCAAAAAAACAAACAAACTAAAACTAAAACAATGACTCAAGGAACTATATGGTCTCTATTGATTAAGACTGAAACATAAAAGAGGGGGGAAAAAATAAGTAAAAAGCTGAAACGTCTTGCTTCATGTGATGCTAGTGTTAGCACAGCTAGCTGCGAAAGCTAGCTTGACACGTAGGAGTATAAAACTAGTACTCTTGTAGTAAAATAAGATTATATGCTTTAAAAAATGATGAAATCCTGTTCTTTAACCCATTTTGGTTTGAGGTAGATCTATGTGCGCTTGTGTTTTATTCTTTTGTAATTAGAATAAAACAATAATTAATTGTGGAGGGAAAATATCAAATATGTGCTGAAGTTTTCCTCATTGCAAAACTTGTCAATGAAATTATACCAACAATGACAAATTGCGTGCCAACAGTAACACTTGTCACTATCGTTTACTCTTGCTGCTATATAATATGGGCGGTATAAAACCAGGACACAATGAAATAAGGAGACTGTACATACAAGCACACTTGAGGTGGAACTGAACCTACGTAGACAGTGACCTACAAATCTGGTGATTACATTACAGTCTTTACATATTATTATTCACTAAAACCTGCAGCTTTGTTTCAATATATTCACTAATAAACTACTAAGACTAACAATTTAATTCACATTTTAAAAAGTATTTCGTTTTACATAATGCTTTTTAAGGCTGCTTTTGTAGTATTAATATTTTTGATGAAAAATAGTGAAAAAGCAGCCACCTGGAGTACTATTGATCAATACCACTATCAAATAACAATGTACTATATTTGAAAGCAACAATGAAACAATAAAGATCTTGAAACTGTATTTTTACAGTATTTTTGGTCCAGTATTTCTTAGTAAACTTGAAATAAGAGAAAACTAGCTTACATGTAACTTCTAAGCAAGATATATGACTGTATTTTAAGTCAATAATTCCTTAATATTGATTAAAAATTACTAGTTCTATTGGCAGATTATTTGATTTACAACTTGGGAGAAATATCCTGTTAAAAGTGAAATAATCATTGTTAATAACAAAAAAGTAGATTTTAAGCAATATTAATAAATTATTGATTTAAAACAAGCTCATATTTCGTACTGAAACGTTATTTTTAAGTTAGTCTTATTTCAAGTGCACCAAGTTATTTGCACTAGAAACTAGGCCAAAAGATTTTGTGTTTTTGCTGTGTTTGCTAACAAACTGAATGCTAACAACTGGTGAAACAAGTGTTTGAGTAATTGGCAAAAAAGTAAGACTTTATAAAAGGTCAAAAGACAAATTAGCTCTACAGTTTTAGCTTGGCAGGCTAACTAGCTTAAACCTCTGCATTATTACATCCAACCTAGCTGCTAGCTTACAGGTGCTAACAAGTTGAGCACAAATATGTGGGAAGACATGTGGCTTACTATATTTCAACTTTACATAATACTAAAATGTGTTTGCAGCTCAATCCACTGTAGCATTTAGCTCTGGTAAATTTGATAAACAAATTTGTCACCAAAGCAAAAGTAACATGGATTTATCGTGCTACAACATCAACCTGATCTTGCAGGAAAAACTTATAGAAGAGCATAATTTTGAGGTGTAACAAATCCTGGTGCCATGGAAATATTTCATTTCACACACTTTCCTTTTTAAAGTAATATGTAAGGGATACCAGTCAATAACTGGAGGACTTTCATTTTAAATTTTACTGCTTTGAAGATTCAAACATTGAATCTTTAGCAACAATTAGCTATCAAAACATTTAGGGGCTCATCTGGTAAAAAGTTCTCTAAAATAAGTTTGAGAGTGGCCTAAAACGGTTCCTCCATTATCCAAATAATTTAAAGAAATCCTGGTATGTTCTTGTTTAGATCTTATATCAACAGATTTTGATAGAAAGGTGGATAATCTTTTGCAAGATAACAGTTTCTGTCTTTTTTCCAAAGGTTTTGGGGGATTCATGGAAAGAAACTAAAACCATCCAATAGTTATATTTTATCATATTGACAAAAACGATATGTACAGTGGCCCAGAAGGGTAAACAAAGTGCAAAATTCATAACAGCAACAGTCACAACGCAACAACAAAAAGCCAGAAAGGAAGTTATGCTAGCATAATTTCCACTTTAGTATAGTTGTGGCTTGTGTTGTTGTGTTATTAAGTTACAGAAGTTAAGCTAGCAAGTTTATCATAACTTCTCTTTTAGCATAATTTCCATTTTAGCATTACTGTACTTCCATTTAAGCTTTTGTTGTTGTGCTCTGGCCTTTTCAATTAAATTCAGCTAAGCTTATTTAATCACGTCATCTCAAGATACTTTAGGAAACAAATCGTCATTACAGTTCAATAATACATGTTTCAACAAAACATACTTATGATGTTTTGTATATGTATATCCCGCACTTCCCGCATCTGCGCCCTCTGTCCCCCGCACTTTTTTTAAACTGTTTAATCCTAACATTAACTGTTTAATGTTGCTAACATGTCGTAACGTGTTTTTCCGAGCCGCCTTTAAACACATCATGAGCCCTAAAATGTGCGACGGAGCTGCGCAGGTGTGTGTTAGAATCATGGCAGCAATATTATCAAAAGGCAAAGAAAATTTCACCGTTTTCTCCCTCAAACTAACTGTTGATAGTTGATTAATGCCGTTGGATGCAGGTAATATTAGCTAAATGATGACTAGCTAATGCCGATATCACGTTAAGCTTGCTAGCAAGAATAGGCTACTGTTATCTATGCACCAAAGTGGGTAGTACTCGTTACATTTACTTGAGTAACTTTTTGGGAAAAAATGTACTTATAAGAGTAGCTTTAGTGCTTTTTTACTTGAGTAATTCTTCTCTTCCTTGAGTAGATTTATTTGTAGACTTCAGAGATGGGATGAGCTAATGTTCATTTAATTTTAGCACAGTAATATTGAATAATTTCTATTGATAATAGCATTTTTCTGAAGATCAAACCTTTAGCTGTGAGGAGCTACCAACTGTGTCTGTCTAAATGCTCCAGGTTGATCACGTCATGGTAGCAGAGAGGACGGTCATCGCTCAGGCCATCCCTCCGTCTGGTTCCCTGTGGCTGGGCTGCCATCAGAGAAACCGGTCACCTGGAGGTGCCGTGGGAAAGGTGGAGCTGTACCTTTTCCGCATGTGGGCAGACCTGGGTGAACACAGGTCCTGCGAGGACGGAACTGTGACTGGCTGGGATGGAGACCACTGGGATGTTACCAGTCCCAACGCCAAAGAAACGGACCATTCTCTTCCATGTGGTGAGAAGAACAGGCATATTTATTAACTGATAGGTACTTTTTCTCGAACCTATATAAAAAGACCACAGACAACGTATATG